CTTAGTGGAGAGGTTTCTACCTAAAATATATTATAAGCATAAACATTCAATAATATGTAATTTGAATAAATAAATAAATTAATAATATACAAATCCAGAAGGCGTTGTGCGCGCAATATACCCTCTACACCGATATTTCTCGTGTCTAGTGTTCCGTAAGGTTTTCTCTCAGCTGAAAAGTGTTCCGTGGCCAAAAGAAAAAAGTTTGAGAAACGCTGATTTAAAGTAATCCAATTGTCTTGGGCTAAGTTTTATTCAAAATTATGTTTAAGCGATCCTTTTGAGTTTTGCCCAATGTTGGCTGTTCCCTGTATATTTCTGAGGGTGGACACATCTCAAAATAAGAAGTATCTTTTAAAGTGCAAGAAACCATCTACGAACTTAGTACCCCTCGAAATGGCCACGCAATCTGAAGCCAACAACAACTTTATCTAGGTTTCCTGACTTCCATGTTGACTTACTGTGGTATTGTTACTGTTTGTTACTGTGGTATTTCCAGGCAAAACTGTTTCCACTCAGAGCGATAAGACACGTCAGCTTATTAGCGGGAAACTTGAAATATTATTTACTGTGAGATAATTCAATACTCTATGACTACCGAAGACGTGATAAATAGAGAAAACTAAACACAGAAGAACAGTCACAATGCAATACCTATATTTAAAACAAACACAGTGAAAGTGTACACTTAGGTGGTCACAAAAGTCAGTTGATTTTACTGGAGAGTTAGTCATAACTCGGTTATCTCAAGTTCCGTACTGTATCTCTCAAGATCGTGTTCCAGACTAAGTCTTTTAGACTGAATAATCCTCACATTAGCTATTTCAATCGTTATTGCAAACATATCCAGAGAAACCAGCGTTACGCACTCGACTATTCATTTCATAATGAAATATAAGTAACGTAGTTACCTCCAGAGATCACCAGTGTAAAAATACCTGTCTAACTATCTTCACATATCATCAGTGTCCCTGCAACTATCTTTCCCATGAGAAAACAAAAGATGTTATTCTAGGTGAATGACGTCGTACAATGAGTAGCTGAAGTGAAAGGAAGTAAACGATATTTTTTATCCACGTTTTGAAAACAACAAGAAATAATAAATTTTGATAATTCTCGTATTAATACAGAGAGGTAGAAAACACAGTGTGTTTGTATACAGCAATATTATTTAAGTGGTTGTAGAAGGCTTCTTTTATTTATATGTTTTTCGTTGATATCTGACAATGTGCCCACTGGTGGCTAAGCAATAAGTTATATAAGTTTAGCTTATAACGCTAAAACCCCTGGATACTCCTCTTGACAACATTAAAATCGCTAGCAGTTTCAAATCTTAACGAGTAGATAATGTAAAACATGTCTATCAAGAATACTTATGATCAAATGCTAGTTATTAGTATACGGGACTTCTCAGGATTTCTCTGAAGAGAAGAAGGCAGAAGGTTAGCAACCGAAAAATAGAATAAAATCTAGTAAATAATTAGTATGGAGTATAAAAAAATGGGAAGTAATTAATAAGTAAACTTAAGTGATCGTACAGGCCACTAACCATGACAACGACCTTTGCCATATTTTAAACATATTTTTCTACGTAAGTCTCATGGGTGACAACAGAAAATCAAAAGTACATTCATCGGAATATTATGGTTTATAAAGCGTCATGATTTCGTTTCTTCACGTGAAGACGTTACTGGAAATAAATTAGAGAAAATATATATTTGAAAATACCAGTATTCTCTATTAAAGAATTTTCAGCATATCCGTTCCTCAGTTTTTCAGATTTGGCGGGATATTCTGCCCGTGAGTTACCGTGAGTAAATGGTCCGAGGCCGGGGATTTCTGAAAAATACCACCACCAGAAAAAAACAAAATGTTAGATTGATGCGTAATTAATTTCAGTTTATAAAGTTCGTGTTCTTAGACTGTATATAATGTTACTATACTGTTCCTACTGGAAATCCTTACTAGTTCAGAAAATGATTATATGATAAAAATATTATTTCAAATTGTTACACACACACACACGTATGTATGCATACATATTCGCTATCACAGCAAACATTTCTCTGTAAAGTATCATTACAAAGTATCAAAAGTACTTGATGAGTTTCGTACATGTATTATTTCCACATGATCTCCACAGTTCAATGATCGTTTTTTTAAAAGAAGATACCACTGAAGAAGTGGAAATAATGAGGTAGAATTTAGCCTGGAATTTTGAGTCGAATAAAAAGTCGGCATTACTAAAAGAATTAAAATCTATTGATGTTAAAAATCAAATAAAATATAACGAAAATGATTTTGAAAGACAAAAGTATCCAATACAAAGTAGTCACATGACTTTAAAAAAACACTTAGTATTTCTCTGTAAGTTAGAACAAAATATAACGTAATTAGATCTTACAAATTGTGTGGGAAAATAGTCTATGTTATAGCTATGTCAGTAATGAATATAAAGTAGTCACATGATTTTAAAAACACTTAAGTATGTGGACGTTTCTCAGTAACTTATAACAAAATGTAACGTAATTAGATCTTACAAATTGTGTGGGAAAATAGTCTATGTTATAGCTATGTCAGTAATGAATATAAAGTAGTCACATGACTTTAAAAACACTTAAGTATGTGGACGTTTCTCAGTAACTTACAACAAAATGTAACATAATTAGATATTACAAATTGTGTGGGAAAATAGTCTATGTTATAACTATGTCTGTAATGGATTCATATTTGTGATAAAGTTATGGTTATATATAAAGATGATCTATGTTACAGTTAAGACTCTAAGTGAAGTGAAACTGTGTGACAGTTACGACTATAAGGGATTCGAACTTGTTTCACAGTCACGTCTGTAAGGAAAATATAATATATTTTTATAGTTTGCTTTGGACTGTAATTCTAGAGTACCTGTGTGACATGTATATAAGAGATCTAAACCTATATTACAGTTTTACCTCTGGATAAATGTGAAAACACAACAGCAAATGTAAAATATTGTTCTTAAGCTTATTCAAATTGTGTGAAAAGTTTCGTTTTGTTTTTCCTGGAAAAGCAGAATTGATTAAATGTGGAGAGAATAATATCAATAATGTGCAGTAAAATAATAGATAAACTTGTAGAGAATAATATCAATAACGTGCAGTAAGAGAATAAATGAAACTTGGAGAGAATAATATCAATAATGTGTAGTAAAAGAATAGATTAAACGTGGAGAGAATAATATCAATAATGTGCAGTAAGAGAATAGATGAAACTTGGAGAGAATAATATCAATAATGTGCAATAAAAGAATAGCTTAAACGTGGAGAGAATAATATCAATAATGTGCAGTAGAAGAATAGATTAAACGTGGAGAGAATAATATCAATAATGTGCAGTAAAAGAATAGATTAAGCTTGGAGAGAATAATATCAATAATGTGCAGTAAAAGAAAAGATTAAACGTGGAGAGAATAATATCAATAATGTGCAGTAGAAGAATAGATTAAACGTGGAGAGAATAATATCAATAATGTGCAGTAAAAGAATAGATTAAGCTTGGAGAGAATAATATCAATAATGTGCATTAAAAGAAAAGATTAAACGTGGAGAGAATAATATCAATAATGTACAGTAAAAAGACTTTTATTTTCTATCTAAACTAACGTCCTTGTACAACAACACAGTTTCTTTAAAGTAAACAGAGATTGTTCTTGTATTCAAGACATATAGCTTCTTCTTTATTTTTATCCTTAAACTCTATCTTAACAACTCAGCTATAGGTGGTTTCAAACACACATGTGTATGCGTAACTTATAATTTTCTCTTTAATACTAAACCAACTATCGTAGTTGCTAAAACATCTCTATGAAATAAAAGTATAGGGTACGACATAAATGTTCACCAACCATATAAACGAATAGTGCCTTCAGTTTCACCCAGAGAGTTTTTGGCAACACAAGTGTAGGAGCCATAGTCTTGAGGCTCAAGATCCCGGATGGTTAGATGCAACTGTCCCTTGTAGTTTTCTTGAGAGATGTCTACCGTCTCGTATTTACTGTTTGATATAATAATGACTCCCCCCTCTCTCATCCAATAGGTTACGGCAATAGGATGAGCTTCAAGGTTACAGTCCAAGACAACGTCGGTAGCCAGTGGTGCTCCGATAAGCTGGTTAGGCATCCAAATCATAGGAGAGACTGTTGTATCATAGACAAGTCACGACGTTAGTATACAGACTATGGACTGTAGAGGAAATTGTTGTATCATAGACAAGTCATGATGCTAGTATATGGACTATGGCCTACAAAGAAAACTGTGTTTAATAGGTAGATCTGGAGATTAGTATCTAGAGTATGGAGTATAGGGGAAACTGTTGTATCACAGACAGATTTGGACGTTAGTATATGGACTATGGACTATAAAGGTCAGTAAGTTAGTATATTGACTATGGATTATAGGGGAACTGTGTATTATAAGCAGATCTGGGAGGTACTATATTGACTATGGACTATGCGGGAACTGTTGTATCATAAACAGGTCTAGACGTTAGTATATAGACTACAGACTATAAAGGAAACTGTGTATCGTGGACAGGTCTGGACGTTGGTATATGGACTATTAAAGAACCTGTGTATCAAAGACAGGTCTGTTCCATAGCATATGGACTATGGACTATAGAGCAAACTGTTGTATCAAAGACAGGTCTGGACGTTGGTATATGGACTATTAAAGAACCTGTGTATAATAGACAGGTCTGTTCCATAGCATATGGACTATGGACTATAGAGCAAACTGTTGTATCAAAGACAGATCATTGCGTTAGTATATTGACTATGGATTATAAGGGAAACTGTTAATCATAAGCAGGTCAAGACGTTAGTATACGGAATATGGACTATAGATGAAACTGTTGTATCATAGACAGGTCTGGACGTTAGTATATGGACTACAGACTGTAATGGAAACTGTCTATCATAGACAGGCCAATACATAGATAGGACTGATACACCAGATATATATATTACATATTTCATTCTAAACAAGTTAACGTCATGAAATAGAGATCAAAGAAACGACTCTTGTATCAAGTACGTAGACTTTAGGAGATACAATTATATGTAATAGAAGTTATGATATTATTACTTATATTAGAGGAGAGACAGTTTCTTCATAAATAAATAAGAACACTAGTTTACAGTTAATGGAGAGAGTGAAAGGCTGGGAGCTACAATGTTAATGTCTTTTTTTTCTATCTACACGAATACACCGATGTCTGAGAATTTTAAAAATGTAACACTAGGAACATTAGTTGTCATTCAATTGTTTATAAATATATTTTCCATAAGTTTACAGAGATATAATTAGATAAAAGCAACGGCTTAATTCCTTTTTCTCAGCAAGTAAAATAAGAAATTCACATCTTTCAAGAAATAAAGACTGCTCAATTTTATTTTCTTAGGTTCATATAGAAGCTAATTCAAATATAATTCAAAGTTCATTCAAAGTAATATAAACTAGGGTTAATTCAACCTTGAATATTTCTATAATGGTAAAAAGGTTAATAGTGATAATTAATTAAGAGTTAACTATTTGAAGAGTTAAATGTTTAACAAATAAATGAAGGATACAAGTAGAGTAATAAACAGGTATAAAAATCAATGAATAGATAGATAGTGGAAGTTAGATGAGTAAGTAGATAGTTGGGTAGAAAACTGGATAGAAAAATGGATAGAAAGAAAATAAAAGAAAAAAACGTCAAAATATAGATAAAATGAGTCTTACAAATCTGTGGATGGCTAGATATGTAGGGAGAGACAAATGTTTGGCGGTTTCTTACAATTTACTCCCAGGAAAATTCTTTTACTGACAGCTGGAGGGATTCCGTTTACGGCAATACACAGATAGGCACCCATATGTAGTCGGCTCACCTTGTTGATGTTGAGGTAACTTCCGTTCATGGAATGTACTGTGGAGAAAAGATGGTAGTTGGTTCATACTATAAATAAAATACAGTGATCGGTTCATACTGTAGAGAAAACACAGTAATTGGTTAATACTGTAGAAAAAACGTGGCACTCGTTGATACTATAATAAAACACAGTAACTGATTCATACTATAGAGAAAACCCAGTAACTAGTTCATACTGTAGAGAAAACACAGTAATTGGTTTATACTATAAGAAAACAGTAACTGGTTCATAGTGTAGAGAAAACGTGGTAACTGGTTCATACTGTAGAGAAAACACAGTAACTGGGTCATACTATAGAGAAAACACAGTAATTGGTTTATACTATAGAGAAAACACAGTAACTGGTTCATACTATAGAGAAAACACAGTAATTGGTTCATACTATAGAGAAAACACAGTAACTGGTTCATACTGTAGAGAAAACACAGTAACTGGTTCATACTATAGAGAAAACACAGTAACTGGTTCATACTATAGAGAAAACACAGTAATTGGTTTATACTATAGAGAAAACACAGTAATTGGTTTATACTATAGAGAAAACACAGTAACTGGTTCATACTATAGAACTAACGTGGAAATTGATTGATACTCGAGGAGAAACGTGATAATAGAAAGATACTTTGTAAGTAGTATGATAAGCACTTGACTAAACTGAATTATTATTTCATATTAGAACAACGTTTAACAGTCCTAAAGCTTAACGTACCCAATTCTCTAGCATGAGAAAAAGGAAAAGAGCTAAACATAAATTATACCAAGGTAACTGAAAGTTTGTGATGATTTGTTTGAAGTTGAACACAAAGATACAAAATGGATTATCTGTGCACTGCCCACCACGGGTATCGAAACCCGATTTCTAGCGTTGTAAGTCCACATACATACCGTTGTACCACTGGGGGGACTGACTGAACGTTTGTGATGATTTGTTTGAAGTTAAGCACAAAGCTAAACAGTGGATTATCTGTGCACTGTCCACCACAGGTATCGAAACCCGGTTTCTAGCGTTGTAAGTCCACAGACATACCGTTGTGCTACTGGGGGGGGGCTGACTGAACGCCTTTGTAGATCTTTATTTTCAATAATTTATTGTATAGAATCATGAATCAAAGTCACTGTATTAATTTATTTTACTAAAATTTTATGAATTGGATTTATCTAAGATAATGAATTTTATTGGGTTCAACTGTATAGTGTTTGTCTTTAAAAAATGTTGTATCTAAAATAATCGTGTATTGTTCTATATTACCAACATACTTTTACTGTAAGTTTCATAAAGTTATATTCTTAGATTCGTCAACCATTTTATCCACCACAACACTTTTACAATTAAATAAATATTCATTGATTGTTACTAACCTTTATTACCACCCAATGAAATGGCCTGCTCATCTTCACGTCGCCACGTAATTTTCGGTTCTGGAGATCCTGAAGCTATGCACTTTAGACTAATATCTTCTCCTTCTCTTACCTCAGTGTCTTTGCTTGTGAGCGCTTCGTCAATTTGAGGGGGAACTTAGAACAAGAGATTTTTGATAACAAAGATTATAAAACAGGAAATTGAAAGTTTAAATAATGAAACATTAATCATTTTATAGATAACTCTTCTTTGGTCAATTAAATGAAATTTCTAAATGGCCTGTTCATCCTCACGTCGCCACGTAATATCCGGTTCTGGAGATCCTGAAGCTATTCACTTCAGACTAACATCTCTTTCTCTTACCTCAGTGTCTTTGCTTGTGAACGCTTCGTCAATTTGAGGGGGATCTTAGAACAAGAGATGTTTAATAACAAATATTATAAAACACGAAACTGAAAGTTGAAATAATGAAACATTTCTTTATTTATTTTGGTTGAAGTTAAGCACAAAGCTACACAATGGGCTATCTGTGCTCTGTCCACCAGAGTATCGAAACCCGGTTTCTAGCGTTATAAATACGCAGACATGCCGCTGTCCCACTGAGGGGCTAATGAAATATTAATTACTTTATAGATATATCCTCTTTGGTCAGTTGAATGAAATTTCTAAAACAAGTCATCCTTTAACATCCTGTTTATTCTAGAACTGTAAAAAATCATAAAGGTATAACTTTTAGAAAACACACTCCGTAAACTGAAACATATGTTAATAAAAGGAAAATGGCGTACGTAATTAATTATCTGTTATAGTATGGCACGATATATGATTTATAAAAACAACATCTCTCTCTTCTGTAAAGAAAAGACTTAAAAAAAGAAAAAAAACGTCTAGAATTTCATCATTAGAAACCATGTGTGATTGGTTGTTTTTGTTAGAGGAGGTATAATAACATTCTTCTGTCTCAATGTTATAAGATATCCACGTTCATTACCTAGTGTTTATTGCTTGTACTTTTTATAATATTTCTTTTGATTTTGTATTTTTTATTACTTCATGATAATTCCTAATATCTTGATGAACATGATTCGATCTGCTAGTTTTTTTATGCTTGGGTAAAGATCTACTATGTGTTATATTATTTATTGTAAGTCGCTGAGCTTTCATTCAATAGTATTAGTTTCGCTTCTGCAAAGTATTATATAAGACGGCCTACTCTCTGTTAATACAAGCTTAATCATAAGTTGATAGGGTAAAAAAATTGGTAGGGAGGGTAGGGAGAGTCAAAACTATCCATTTATAATAAACTTCAGAAATATTATCTTAATAATACGATTGAGACAAATTAAACCACAAACGACAAAAATCAAGAACAACAACAAAAAACTATTACAACAGTAAGGAAGAGAACTACAACAGCATGTCCACTTTGCTCAAAATTCAAGAACTGATAGAAGCTAGAGTACAGAAAATATCAAGTAGAGAGCAGCACTAGCTGAGTTGGAATATAGAATATGGACATGGGTCATTCGGCCTATAATCTTCCAGTTGAGAGTTAATGAGATTTGGACACCGTCATCTGGCGGCTGGTTTGATAACTCTTTCCAAGGTGACTATTTGGCCACACATCTTGCTTATAGCTTACAGTGAGGAATGTGTTGTTTTTTTTGTTTTTTTTCGTCTTTTTGATATGAAATGATAACTTGTGACATACACGTGGTTCACAGTGAGGAATGTGTTGTTGGTGGTGTCTTTTGTGTTTTTATTTTTCGTCTTTTTGATATGAAATCATAACTTCGGGTCAAATAATCTAATATTTGTTTACCGTTCACGCTTATTCCGATAAGTATCACATTTAGTGGCAAACATTTTAAGGTATTTATGAGTTGACCTTTGTGATTTTATGACAATTAATCATGCCCTCTAGTAGCTGAGCGGTCAGACTGAGGGATTTTCATACTACACAACGGATTTCGATACGCCTGGTAGACATAGCACATATATCCTATTGTATAGTTATGCCCTTGACAACAAACGAACAATTGAACGTTATATAGTGATTCTATACACAAGTACTTGAAACTATTTACATAAACACACGTAGAAAAACACCAAGTAGTTTTCGTACAAGACTGATTATTTTTATTGATTTTTATAAACAAAGCACACATATAAGTTTTTTTACGCATAAGATACACCATTAATATTATTAATATGAACGAATGTTTTAATTGAGAAATGATTGATACACCGAATTAACTGCAGAGTAAAACACCTACTGTGATATAAAGCTGAAAATTACTGTGTACAGCACACTTCAAATGGTTTAACGTTAAAATCTTACGATAACTTTGAGAATTAGAAAAATGATCTGTTTAACTCGCTCCCGCAGCAGCAGTACAGGTGTTTTGTATCATATTAGTTTCTGTTGTTGTTTTCTAAGTGAAAAACGATACAATGAACTATCTGCGTTCGGTGTACGGCGGGGAATTGAACCCCGGATTTTTGCGTTGTAAATCTGTAGATTTACTGGGAAAGGAGGGTAGTCGAACTGTTTTGTATCAGACCTGTCGCTAAGTGTGCTGTTAGTCTGATTACAGTTTTCAGACTGAGTGGACAGGCTTACGATACATATTTGGCAGTATTATACATTTTTCTTTAAGGTAAGAGGCCATATACAGTTTAAAATCAACGAGTAAAGTATTTCAACAACGTCATATATATATTGACCATACCTCCTAACAGGTTATCCTTCAATCATTCCATGAAAGAGATGGAAAATGTGTCTAATGAGGAGTTAACCATTTTAATATACAGTTTTATAACTCATGTTTTAGCTAAATTTGCGGTGATGTTAAACTGTTTACAGCGGACAATAATAGATACTAAAACTGTAAGTGAAATAATGATATTTACTTCTCAGATATCATTCAACTTGTTAGTACTGATGTTATGAGTCTGTTTAAAGTAGGCCCGACATGGCCAGGTGGTTAGGGAGCTCGATTCGCAATCTGACGTTGAATACAGAAATTACGTCGTAATACGTTAAAACTGAATATAGGAGATCTTTATAATGTGCTAGTACTCAATTAATAACGTTATAATACAGTAGCGCTGAATACCGAAAAAAAACGTGATAATACGTTAGATCTGAATCAATAACAACGATATAGTATGATTGATTGATACTGCACAAAGAAATAACGTGTCTCCAAACTCTATCCTGATCATGCAGAAAACGATAGACATGTATGAATAACAACGATATAATATGTTAGACTCACACTATGCACAAAAAACTAACGTGTTTCGCAGATATGTCCTAACCAGACAAAATATGTTAGATCTGAATCAATAACAATGACATAATGTGTTAGTCTTACACTATGCACAAAACTAACATGTATCGCAACTCTATCCTGACCAAACACAATATGTCAGATCAGAATCACTGACAACGACATAATATGTTAGACTTATACTATGCACAAAAAAGTAACGTGTCTCGCAACTTTATCTTGACCATACACAATACGTTAGATCTGAATAAATAACAACGATATAATATAATAGACTGACAGTTCACAAAAACTAATGTGTCTCGCGACTCTATACTGACTATGCACAATACGTTATCTCTGAATCAATAACAATGACATAATATGTTAAATTGACACTATGCACAAAAACATCTATCGTGTCTCGCAAGACTATCCTGCCCATACACAATACGTTAGATATGTATGAATAACAACGACATATGTTAGATTTACACTGTGTACCAAAAACTAACGTTTCTCGCAGCTCTATCCTGACCAAACAGAATACGTTATATCTGAATCAACAACAACGATATAATAAGTTAGACTGACTCTATGCACAAAAAAGGAACGTGTCTCTCAACTCTATCCTGCCCATACACAATACGTTAGATCTGTATGAATAACAACGACATATGCTAGACTTACACTATGCACCAAAAAACTAACGTGTCTCTGACCTGTATCCTGAACAAAAACAATACGTTAGATATGTATGATTTACAAAGATATAATGGGTTAGACTGACACTATGAACAAAAAACTAAAGTGTCTCGCAGTTCTATCATGACCAAACACAATACGTTAGATCTGAGTCAATAACAACGACTTAATATGTTAGACTGACACTATCCACAAATAGAACTAACGTGTCTCGTAGCTCTGTCCTTACCAAAAACAATACGCTAGATCTGAATCAATAACAACGACTTAATATGTTAGACAGTCACCACGCACTAAGAAACTAACGTGTGTCGCAGCTCTAACCTAACCATACACATAACGTTAGATATGAGTCAATAACAACGATATTATATATTAAACTGACACTATGCACAAAAAAACTAACGTGTCTCGCAGCTCTATTCTGACCAAAGAGACTACTTTAGATCTGAATCAATAACAACGACTTAATATGTTAGACTGACACTATGCACAAAAAAATTAACGTGTTTCGCAACTCTATCCTGACCTTAAACAATACTATAGATTTGAATCAATAACAAAGATATAATATCATCGAATGATACTGCACTTAAAAAACTAAAGTCTCCTGCAGCTCTATCCAGACCATTAACAACACGCTATATCTGAATAATAACAACGACATAATATGTTAGACTGACGCTATGCACAAATTAGTTAACGTGTCTCGCAGCTCTATCTTGAACAAACACACTACGTTATACATGAATCATTAACAACGATATAATTAGTTAAACTTACACTATGCACAAAAACCTAACGTGTATCGCAGCTCTATACTGACCAAACACAATACATTAGATCTGAATCAATAACAACGATATAATATGTAAACTGACATTATGCACAACAAGAACTAACGTATATCGTAGCTCTATACTGACAGTACATTAGATCTCAATCAATAACAACAATATAATATGTTTGACTGACACTATAAACAAAGAAAAATAACGTGTTTCGAGTTCTATACTGACCAAACACAATACGTTAGATCTGAATCAATAACAAAATATAATATGTTTGACTGACACTATGAAAAAAGAAAATAACGAGTTTCGCAACTCAATCCTGACCATACACAATACGTTAGATCTGAATCAATAACAACGATATAATATGTTTGACTAGCA